ATAAAATCCCCTACTCACCAATATTTTAGAAGTTTGAGTCATGTAAAACAATTTATTAATTTTAAGTGGCCTAATGTAACATGGCACACACAATGCAACATTTACATTCAGTTTTTTTCGGAAAAAAAAACTACTCCGCACTGCCCCCTACAGCAAACAATAAATGCACATGCTATGGCACATATTTGTGCGCGTGTGTGTGTGTTCATCCTATATCTGTGGGCGGCATGGTGGCGTAAGAGGTCACAATGTAGCCACAAGCCCACAGAACTGCGGTGGGTTCATACAATCCATGCTGTTATTTCTAGTCCAGTATGTACAGGGACATTGTCAGAATGGAGGCTGGCGGGAATTCCGGAAACCCTTGTTAGAACCTGACAGGCACCATATCATATAACGATGTAATGTAATATAACATCTGAAAACGGCCGCATTAACCCATTTAATTGGCTGATCAGTTTCTACATATAAGCCGACCTTAAAGTGGAATCATTGCTTATTTGCACCTACAAATAAGCTTCCACTTGCTAACGTTGGTGTTTATTACATTATTAGCTAGTAATTGCCTTAATAGCCAGTTTACCATATTCTGGTAAAGTCTTTTACATGGTAGTCTTCAAATTGTTTCATAGCTGATTATGAGCAGTTCACAATATAGAATTCGATGTTTTCAACAGTGCAGTCAGAATTCAATAAAATATCATTTTTATAGTTGTACTATTCCGTAGGTGTTGTATGTATAAACGTAACAATGAACTACATCTGGCGATGGCTTTTGTGCTTTGAACGAAAAAAAAAACACACAGCCTTCAAATTCTTAAATAGTTTAATTTCATGACTTGTGGAGCTTTTTCTGTGTTTATTCTTACAGGAATCTTTTAAATGACGACGTTTGTACGTTCGCAGATGCATTTTCTAGCGCTTAGCTTGTACGTACGGCCCGTCTGGAATACGACTGCCAAACAGCTAGCACAATCAGTGACCTTCATCCAACATTTACCGTCACAACCAAACCTCTCCGATGCCACACGTCCTGTCCAATGGGAAGCCACCGGTTGAAGTTCCATCCATCCATCCATCCATCCATCCATCCATCCATGTAAACAATTCGCATAAAGTAGGGCAACACCAGCTGCCCAATGTCATTGAAGAACGCCATTTTTTGTTCTGAGCGGAGTTATTTTGCACTGAAGCGTGGGCTAAACCGCTAAACCTACCTCCAAACGTCTCTTGTTCTCGCAGGAATTGAGGTGGATATTGAAGATTGACTGAAGATTGACAGGTATTAAGCCAATCGCCAATGAGTTTTTGGGCAGAGTGGGCGGGCCTTACTATCAGCACGCAGTACGCAGTTTCCTTTCCGTGCGCCCGGCGTTGCGGCTCCGTCCTCTAAGCAGAAGCGTGAGTATTTACGGCCCGACGGTTTGAATGAAAGCTAAACTCTAAATAGGCAACACTGTCCCTAAAACGTACAGTTAATCTGTTAGGATTATAAATGTTGCCGGTGTACGACGGGAGTCTCAATAGCGAATGTATTCTTTGAAAATCAATGACGTATTCAAGCTACTGTTCTCCGCAGTTACACTGTTGCCGCAACCTTAATGTGACTGGGGGTGCGGCTACTGTTCAGAGCCAAGTTATTATAAGAGGTCAAGCCATGTCAGGTGAATGTATGGTGTAACTAGAGTATTTTCCATCCATTGTAAAAATCGTTACTGTGGTGAATTGCGTGTCATTCGAATAGATAAGCCCAGGTTAGGAGCATAGTCATACGCATTTTACAGTCGTAAAGGATGGAAATATTGACGTTATCGTATCATAAATCACGACATGTCTTTGCCTGTAACGTTAGGTTAGTTAGCCAAAGCCTACTTTTTCATGAAATGTTAGTTACCAATCGGGGAAAGATATTTAAAAGCTTCGTAAGCCGCTGTATGATACTAGCTGTTATTTTATTTTTCTCCTGAATTGAGTGGTTAATATTTTAATGTCTAACCAAAAAATTGATATGCATAACCTTATGCTCAGGTAGACGTTCCCAGCTCAGATTATGTGGCGTTAATGTTATGTTTTTATTTTCTCTGTTTTGTCATTTCTGCATTTGAGATTTTTTTCTAGACCTATCAGCTTTGTTAGTACAGATAGGTATTTTTTTATGTTGTTATACTCAAGAAAAAATCCTTGGCTGTAAGTTTATGATATTGTTAAATCAGCATTGCCGCAGGATCTGTGCCCACCTGCCCCCACCCCCCCTCAGAGGGACTTCTGTCTGCTCTCACCCAGCATGGGCAGCGTGCTCGCTGCCAGCTCGTCACCCCCAGCTCCAAGGGGGCCGGGGCAGGTCTCCGTGCCTCCAGGCTTCACCATGCCCCCTGTCTCATCCCTGCCGACCCCCCCAAATGTGGGTGGGCAGGTGGGCGAAGTGGAGAGTCCCCTGCCCAACCCTGGCGCTTTTGAGGAGTGTCACCGCAAATGCAAAGGTGGGACAGCGCCGTTTTCCGAGTCACGTTTCGCCCGACGCATTGATCTGGTGTCAAATGAGGGGACGGAGAGGAAGGGTTGAAACTTTTACTACTGTTTATAATCCGCAATAGTCAGGCACAGAGGAGAAACTGCTGTAAATATACATTTGCTGTGCTAACTATCAAACGTTTGAAGTTGTGCTCCAGTAAATTAAAGGCTGCCTACCCAGATTTTGCAGTTTGGTCCAAACGTAATTTTAGAAAGACATGTAGCAGCAACTTCAAATTATTAATGTCACACCGTTACTAGTCTTTCATTGCTCATAGTCACAGATTTTGGTTATTTACACTGAAAGACTGCAGAAATAATACACACTAATTTTGCTCTCCGTTGTTTACTTTGGCAGTTGTAATATATAGCCACATCACTAGGGGCATTTTAGCCAGTGCTAACACTTAATGATTTACTGATAACCTTTCATCCTAATACCTTGTTTTAGAGATCTTCCCTATGGAAATAGAAGGAGTAAGATTGGTGGTCAACAAGGGCCTGAGCAATCATTTCCAGGTCAGTAGCCATGTTATGCTTATGCTTATTAATGTAGCCAGAGACTTTTATCCAAAGAACCCTCCTTTTTGAGGAAGCAGGGGCAGACAATCCCCAGAGTTATTGGGGGTTCGGGGCCTCGCCCAGGGGCCCGACAGAGAGATCACTCTGCTGACCGTGGGATTTGAAGCAGCAACCTCCTGATCACACTCACAGAATAACTAACACACTGAGCTACACACTGTCCCATGTGAGAAATCAATGAAAATCAATTGGATGTTTAATATAAATTCTCCATGTAAGAGAAAGCAGTATCAGTATCTCCGCTAGTTCCACTACTGGAGCAATCTGGAAACAGGCCGGCTTTTTATAGCGAGGCAGGCCTTCTGTATAGCGAGGCAGGCCTTCTGTAAAGCTTGTATGCATGCTGTGCTGGAATCAGCTGTGAATTTTTTTGATCTATTATTTCACATTCAATACGGTGACTTAGACATTGGATACAACAGCTGGCTAAATGCAGCAGCATTGTCAGTAAAAGTCTTGGGAGATACCATTCTGTGTCTTGGGAGATACCATTCTGCAGGCCACATTAAAAGTAAATTAACATTGTCTTGGTGTGTGGGCTGGAGCGGTGGATGGATAGAACCACCCCTTTGCAGGAGAATAAAACTTATTTTCATGTACTTGCATCACTTTTCTAATGTGTTACATTCCTTTTGCCAGCTGCTTTATGCTCAGCCATCTTCAGTTCAATTCAGGTTTATTTGTAAAGCGCATTTCACAATACATTATCCCTGCCCAAAGCCCACAGAGAGCAAGCCAGAGTGTTTCAGTGGCAAGGAAAAACCCTCTAGAAGGAAGAAGCCTTGGGAGGAACCAGACTCAGAGGGGGAGCCCAACCTCCAGGGGGCAGCACAGGAAGTCAAATTAACTAAATGACAAAATCCTAATTTCTACAGGCCAAATTGTAAGATTTGAGTCTCAAAGCGGAGGGCAGGCAGGTGCTGGTGCTGTTTCTGAGGGCAGGATGAGCAGTGGTACAGCAGCAGGGAAGGAAGGAGAGACGTCACCGGCAGGAGGCAGGAGTGCAGCCGTATCCGCTCTGCTGTTTGTTCTTAAGTCTGCATTTCATTCTGCCTTCTTAATTATCCCAAGGATTGTCATATTAACACTGGGCATCATTTTTCTTTGTGTAAAAAGGCCATAATTCAGTTGAGGTTTTCTGTGTACAAGTGGTCCCAGCTGCTGTATTTCCAGTGCATTTCATGTTAGCTGCCCTTCCCCTCCCTGCCCGGCAGGTCAATCACACGCTGTCTCTCAGCACCCTGGGGGACTCCAGCTACAGGTTCGGGGCCACCTACGTCGGCTGCAAGCAGACAGGACCAGCAGAGGTGCCCGGTGCCGTTTGCTGATGATTTGCACGTCAGACAGCTTCCCACAAGACCACTAAATTGGCTGTTCGCAGATTTCGTTAGTCTGACATTAGCCCCCTTGTACTATTACACTTTGCAGTTATAAGACGTTTGTCCTGTCAGTGCATGTCGAATACACAATATCCACGGGTTGAAAGTTGCTTTCAAGACATGTTGGTTTCTGTGAGCAGTATTTATGATGTAATGCACGCCTCTGCAGTCCTTTCCAGTGATGGTGGGGGATATGGACAACAGCGGCAATCTCAATGCCCAGGTCATCCACCAGCTCACGGAGAGGGTGCGCTCCAAAATGGCTTTCCAGGTACGAGGGTGGGGCACAAGCTTTGCAGCCAGCTAATTACTAGCTGTACTAACTGCACATCACTAAAGCAGTGATTCACATTTAAAATTAAGAACTATATACAGTGCCGTTCAAAAGTTTGGACACGCCAAGCCTCCTACAAAGGAGAGTGATAGTGTGACATCACTTGACCTGGTCACCTGACCTAAACACGGTAGTTTTGGGGGAGTTCGACCGGAGAGTAAAGGAAGAGCAGCCAGTGAGGGCTCAGCTTACACGTGGGACCTCCTTCAGGACAGCTGGAAAAGCATCTCAGGAGGCCACCTCATGGAACTGGCGTAGAGGAGACAGTACCTGGAGCAACTGGGGTTTGGGGCCTTTGCTCAAGGGCTCAATGATAGGGTCACTCTGCCAACCCGGGGATTTGAACCGGCAACCTTCTGAGTCCCAACCCACAGAGCCTTTTATCCAAAGAACCCTCCTATGAATATGAGGCGAAAGTGGAATTTTGTTTAAAGTGTCACCAAATCTGTCTACTTCGATATTAGCTGCACAGATGAGCGAAATTCCGCAGATAAGGAATTTGGGAATGTTTCTGTTCTCTATTGAATCGTATTGATTTATTAAAAGTGCTGATTGGGAACTTTTACCTAATCTGTTATATATGTGAAATATTCATGTGAATTAGTTTTTCCTCTTTGATTTATGGATATTCTGAGTGACGTTCAAAGAGTGTCGTCTCACTGTTTGCTTGTGGGTGGATGGATGGATTGTCTCTGGCAGCAGTTCTCAGGCTTTGTCGCCTTGTTAGACGCAGCAGCAGAAGTTCGTGAACTGGCAGTGCGACGCTGAGTACCGCGGCTCCGACTTCACCACCGCCGTCACCCTCGGCAACCCAGACCTGCTTCTCGGCTCTGGTAGGTTCCCGATTCCGGCTTCGGGGAGCCTGCGGGTGGCGTGTATCTGCCCGTGCTGAATGCCCTGCTCTCTCTCTCTTAGGTATTATGGTGGCGCACTACCTGCAGTCTGTTACCGCCTCGCTAGCCCTGGGGGGGGAGCTTGTGTACCACTGCAGACCCGGAGAGCAGGGTGCCGTGTTGTCCCTGACTGGCAGGTACACAGGTGAGCCTTTGCGGTTGTCTGGGGGAGAGAATGATTGGTTTTAACGCCACATAAGCAGTTTGCTCTTATGTTATTGCACAATAAGCTATCAGTAACCGCACTTTTTAAACATCATCTTTTGGTGTTTGTGCAGACTAGTGCTTTGTGTTTTTGTATCTTTTAAGCTGCAACATTGAGGCTGTGCTCTCTGTTTCAGGCACTAATTACATCGCCACTGTAACCGTTGGGGGTGCGGGGGCCCATGCGTCATATTACCACAGAGCCAATGAGCAGGTAGTGTGCTGCAAAACGCGCGACATGCAGCTTGACACCTCAGCGCTAGGCAGCACTAGCCGATCAGCGAGTGCCATCGCTCTGAAGTGGCTCCGCACGGAACGCGAGCTCATAAGTCCCTTGTGGGGAAACTTGACAGCAAGACGGCACATCTGTGTGGCTTTATGTTTGTCGCTCTGCTTAAAATGCCAATCTGTCAGTGTCACATGCTGATGTCATAGACACAATTAACACAATTACAGTTGCCAATGAAAGGGACTGGACAAGCGTTTCATTTTTGGCCAAGCTTTTTAGCATTTTATGTATAATGTCCTGTGCATTTCTCACTGTAATAGATGGATAAGATTAGAAAAGTATTCTCCAAATTGGGAAAATGAAATGTGCTTAATTTACGGTCCTGAAACTGCAAAATAACTCCTTTTTTAAAACGTATATAAACACGGCATTTATTTCTAAATGAAGTAACCAGCTTATTAAGATTTACAAGCACATTTAACAACATATGTGCTAAAATAAATGGGATAGAATCGTCATTTTTATAATCACAATGTAATTTTGAGTTCCCCTTGGCAGCAATGGCGCTGCGGTACTTTTAAAGTCGCCCTTCTTTTCAGAACACGCCAGGCACAAGCCCCGCCTTGCTCGCTCTCAATGAGAACATAGTGTGTCATTCATCCCGCTGTCTCCTATCGGTTCATTTAAAATTAGTGGCTTTATATGGTCATTTTAAGCAGTATTCAAAATCTGTTTACTAC